AATTTTTATATGAAAATTGAAGTCGCTTGTGCTTTTTGTTTAAAAATTACTTGTTTTTTTTTTATGAAAGAATAGCTCGTTATCTATCAAAAACCATAAGTCCAAACTTCAATCTTTGTACAAAAGTTAAGAAAATTCGACAAAGTTCCATAACAATTTTGAGCTTTTTAATTCGATTTTTTATTGATATTTTTACATGGACGTTGTTTTATAAATGTCAACGCCCCTTTTCTCTCGTTATACATTTATCCATGTAGACCCATCAGTTGTCATTTAAACTAGAGGGGATTTTATTATTATTATTTTTTTTCAGAGGAGGAAGCATCGAAAGCCTTAACCCCAAACCAGTCAGTGTGAGACTTTAACCCACTAAACCTCCTACCGTCTACGTACCGATCCCCCCGGTACCACCGTCAAGTATTTCGTCGGGAGGCGGTTTGAGCGCTAAGCTCTACGTCCGTTACTGTTCACATGACACCACCCGCTGTTAAAGTCGATCTGGTGTTAAACCAACCCACCCATTTAGATTATCCTATTAGGAAGTTCGTATCTAAGTATAGTATAGACCGCATATAGCAATTTAATACCGCTTATTCGATTTTTTAGAGGCTCGCCCCCTTAAGGCCGTTACTTCTCAAGAAAACGGGCTTGTTGCGCCAAGACTGTAGCGGCTGCTAATTTAAGTTGCGTCGAAGGACTTTAATCATTTCGGCAGAGAAATGGCAGATATAGTTCCATGCTTCCTCGCTCGTTAACATTATCGGTACCATATTTTCTGGTGTTATACAGGAGCCACGTTTGGTATTAAGTACGGATCTCATGGAGTCGAAGCGGAGGCATTTGAAAAATGCGTCCTCGGCGTCTTCAATGACCGTCGGTCCACAGTGCTCGCAATAAGGGGTTTGCGTATGTCCGAAGCGATAAAGGTATGCTTTAGAGCATCCGCGTCCACTGATGACTTGGGTCAGATAGTGATCGACTGTGCCGTGTTTCCTGCTGAGCCAAGTGCCAGTTTTTGGTATGAGGCGGTAAGTCCACCTACCCTTTGTTGTTCTGTCCCATCGTTCCTGCCACTGTGCTTCAGTTCAAATTTCTGCTGAATCTGGGCTGTTGAGGGAAGAGTTCTTTTACAATTTGCCCCAAAAGTGCTGGGCATGTTGGTTGGGTTGTTTTCTTCAATTTGTTAAGTACCAGTTTGAAGGCAAAACCCCAAGGGTTGCTGTCGACACCATCACATAGCTCTTTAAACATTCTTTGTTTGCTGCACCGGATAGCGTTCTTAAGTTGCCTTCTGCTGTCCTTGTATGCCCGCCTAAGCTGTATAGCATTTTCTGCTTGACGCGAGCGTTCGCATATGCGTCTAGCCCTATTGCACCGTGCGCGCAGCGCCGCAATGTGGTCATTCCACCAATACGCCGGCTTGCGTGTTTTGTGTCGACCTTGTCGTTCCATGGATATGTCGCATGCTGTAGTTATAGCTTTCATTAGCTCAGACGCTGCAGTCTCCATCGAAAGCGATACTTCTACATCGTTAAATGCTATTTCGAAGAGCTTTTCGTCAAAGCTTTTGGCTTTCCAACCTCGATTTCCACTAGGGAGTACCGTGTTTGCCCGTGCTCGGTCGATGGTAATACTGATAGCGCGATTATCGCTGTGTGTGTAGCACTCGCTGATGTGCCAGCTAACGTCTCTGCTTAGACCTCCACTAATGAACGAGAGGTCTATGATAGAACCAGCCCCGTTTCTGGAGGAGGTGTTTTCATTTCCGCTGTTGAGCAATACCAGGTTAAGTGAGGCCAGTGCATCAAGGAGCTCTCTTCCTTTCGGGTTAGTTCTTTTGCACCCCCATTCAACTGCCCATGCATTAAAGTCTCCTGCAATGAGAGCCGCGTTTCTTAGCCTAGCGTCATTAACTAATTCGGTTATAATTGAAGTGAAGCTAACCAAGTCCGTACTAGGTGGAATGTAGCAGCTGTAAACGTAAAGGTTATTTATTCTGGCACATACAAAACCGGCCGTCGATAAGACTATCCCGAGATGTTTTGGTGTACTTCCGCAGCTCCACATGGCACACTTACCGGTTGTGTCTCTGACCCACGAGACCTCTTTTCTGTTTTTATATGGCTCACTTAATATTGCGACGTCTATGTCCAGCTCAGACACCGTTTGGCCAAGTAAGTCTTGAGCTGCTTCGCAGTGATTTAAATTGAGCTGCAACAACTTCATGGTGTTTTTGCTGGTACCGTGTATGCTTTTGCCTTCTGAAAAATAGGACATGTTCGGCTTCCTGTCGCGTGATTGGTGTTATTTTGCCCATTTTTGAGACAAAGTATGCATGAAGGTTGGTTCGAGCAGGACCTCGCCTTATGGTCTGGCTTGCCGCATCTAAAACAGAGATTAGTGCGATCCTCCTCGTTCCGACATTGCCTACCCACATGCCCGAAGTCATGGCACTTAAAGCATCTGGTTACGACTTCTTTTTGTCTTACGCGGCATATAACCCAGCCGATGCGGATTTTCGACTTGTCGAGAAGTTTTTGAGCGGTCAGTGCTGGCAGACTTAAAGTACACGTTTGCGTCCCCCCATAAGCAGCGCGCATTGAACGTATCGCAGATGGCATAGTTTCTTCGTTGGGAAGATTGCTTCTTAGCGCATCGAGTACTTCGTCTCTAGTAGTGACTTCATCGATATTTTTAATTTCTAGCAGGGTCTCTTGGATAATAGACCGAACTTGTGTCTTTCCTCCAAGAGCAGTTTCCACTGCTGGTTTAAGCTTCTGAGTCGCTGGGTCAGCTTGCTTTTTTAGCTCAAATAAAAGTTCATCTTTTGACGTCTTTCTTATGTGCTTTACAGTTAACTGAGTTGCTGCAGCTCGGGCTGCGACTTTATCTCCTTAAGTATCTCCGCGTATGCGAGATCACCCGTATTTTTAAGGATCAGGGCATCGGATTTCCCTGGCTTGCTTCTGGCCTGCCTTTTGTCCATCTTCGTCTTCCATTCACCTGATTGGGTGGCGTTTGCACCTATAGGAAAGCTGTTGCTTGTTTGCTTATTTATTGCAGCTTGTTCTAAATTCTGCGGTTGGTCTTGGCTCTTCTTTTGTTGTGGTGTCTGACCAATTAGATCCTCAGGAGATGTTAGGCGGCTGCGTTTATTTGTTTGCCGCGGCGAATTGGGGTCCGCAGTATCTTTACCATTAGTCTCTATAACATCGCTCTTACGATTTCTCTTCGTTTGCTTCTCTCTCTCTGTCTGTGTGCTCTTCCAATCAAAAGTAGCAGATGGTCTCCGGCCGTGAAGCTCAGTGAGAGCACGCTTATGCTGCTCGTCACTCGCCTTCACAAGGTCTCTCCTTTGGTTGTTGATGTGCTCCTGGCCTTCCATCCTACTAATCACCTCTTTGATCTTAGCTCCCAGTAGAAATAGCGGATCTCCATAAGCTTCTCGTTCCGTCGTTTGCTCATATTCGCATTCTTTATGATGCTGTGTTTCGCGCGGTTCTTTGTTTGTCGCTTGCTCAATTGCTAGTGGATTGTCTCTCCCTGGTGAGCGGGCGATCCGCGAACTTCTCAAAAAGGGGCTAGGTACCTCATTTGCCTCCGCATATATACGCAGGGAGCTGACGCTATCCATTTTGTTGGTGTGCATGCATAATCGTCTGACTTCTGCTGCTATCTGGCACCTGCTGGCCGGTTAGTGTCGAACGGCTGCTCGCTCTCTTCCTCTCTGTTATATTTTCTCAAAGCATTTTCGCGCAGTTTTTGAAGTTTTGTTTTCTGTGGAATGTTGACAAGGTTTTTGTTTTAGCTATTTTACCTTTTAGTCACTCAGGTTGGCGCAAAGCTGTCGCTTCTTTGCGTAAAGTTGTCGCTTAGTAATACACCTGTGCAGTTTTCGGATTGTATTACGGTCACTTTCAAGCATTATTTCACTATACACCAGAGCACTATAAAAACACGTCTTAACCTCAAGATTGCGTTGAAAATAAGAAAATGAAAAAATAACAGCACAATGCGAGCGTGGTTTTTATAATAAAATAAAAAGAACAATTACAATGAAATCGCCTTTGGTATATGGTTTATATTTTAAATACTTTTAATAAAAAAATGCGAACTACGTAAGTCAAAAAAATACCAAGCACTGATAATGATTTTTGATTTGAAATATTAGGTACATTGATATAAATACGGGAAGGAAAATACTCCGATTTATTGTTTTAATGTCATCAAAGTGGCAAGGCCGTTGATAATACTCACAATTTATGAAGCTCCAACAAATTTGATTATCCGTCAAAAGTTTATTGAAACTACTTTCTTTTTTGTATCATGGTTTACTGTATACTGTGACGGCAGCGAGATATTTAAGTAAACAAGGAACAAAATAGATAATAAGGCATGAAGGGTTATATCGAGCCACATTTTTGCTTTTTCCATAGCTAAACGGCTGGTATTTTTGACTTATGCAGCGTTTTCACTGCATTTAAAATGCAACATTTAGCACTTATGTTTTCGTAGAGCGTTTATGCTATCGCATTTGGATAATGTACATTTACGCGAGTTCGAAATCGTATGCTTTTGACAAACAGTCGTGTTCCAGTCGCTTATTCAGATCCGTATCTATTGTGATCAATTCTCGCGCAGAAGATAATGTGCAAAAAACCCTACTGAAATGGAAAAAATAAATTTTAAACCAAAAATTCAATACAAAAACTTGAATTGTTTTAACCATAACCGAATATATTCATTTGTGTATATATTCATTTGTCGGTGCTA